AAACAAAAAAGGAAATCAAATGAAGAAGAATTCGGTTTGCAAAAATGCTGTTCGTACGCACCGTATGCATGCTGGATAAGGAGAACGTAAAATCCGGCGGAGGCTTTTGAAGAACCTTCCAACTGTTCCAGTAGCACGTTGAAACAAGTTCACTGCGATTCGCGATGCTTCTTATCATTCTGCGCCGATAAACTTCCCTCGCCAACGCATTTACCACAGGAAGCGATGTGGTCGCTGAGTAAATCACCGAAACTCGTTTTCCTCGCATAGCATTTGATCGCGGTGAACATGTGACAAAGGAGACAGGGGCACGCGCACGCCAACGCGCGAAACACGATATTAACCGGAACCATTTGACAGCCGTTTTTTGGATGGACTACGGCCAAAGCCGGTTTCTGGCCAGAAATATAACAAGTTCGTCTGCGAGATGAAGAAAAGCTCGGAAAAATGCTGCACCAACCACCTAAATCCGCAAGTCGAAATCTTGTTCAACGGCTCAAGAACAGTGTTTCAGACGCTGCATGAAAATGGCGTATTCTTGTCATCCTGCTGGCAACAAAACGAAGCGCTTTACAATGTTTACTATTCGCAACGGAGCTATTCGGTAGCATCCAACGTGCACAGGGACCGACAAGTTAGCAGCAGCGCCATCTCCGACTCTAGCATCCTTCTTGGCTAGTAAAATGGACGGGCATCGACGATCGAACATCCTCAGCCAGGTACGTGATAAAGCCTTTCGCCGAATACTGCACATCTGATAGGGTGACTCAACCGTAATAGCACCTAATTCGCCGTCGAAGATCGTCGACTCGTTCCGCCTCATTCACATTTCATCTTTCGGACACAAATGAATGAATACCACTCTGTGGGATGAGTGCAGGAAACTACCAGTAAATCTACTACTACCAATACTAATAATACCACTACCAACATTCATCATCAGCCATCTTCAATTCACTGCTGGATGAAAGACTCGTCAAAACTTTGCCATAAACTTTTGTTTTCTACCATTTCTAGCCATCTTAGTCCTGCAAACTTCTTCAGTTTGTCCTGCCGTCGATATAGAGCTGTTGCTACGGATCATTTACTAACTCTTGAAACCCAGTCTAATGTTTTTCTGGACCAGCTATGTTCGGTTCTTCGCAACGTGCCTTGAATAGTGTCACTTTAACTTCTTCACTACAGTAATGACATCGCAGTCTTTCGTATGTGCGTGCTTTCATCCATTCGTCTTCTGTATTTCATTGTTATTCCCAACACATCTTTCTATACTGCTTTGCGTCGTCTGCATATGATTAATAGCTTGCAAACGAGAATCCACGTTATCTCATCCATAGGTTACTACTGGGAGCACAGATTGATCGAAAACTTATCGTTTGAACCACAATGACAGTTTTTCGACCGTGGATTTTCAATCTTCCAACAGTGTTTTATGTCATGTTTATTCTTGTAGATTTAACGTAGTCTGTTCTGTGCTACAGAAATGAACTGTTCCAGATAGTCGTACTTTTGCACTTCTTGAATCCGAAGTCCGTTGGCCTCAGCACGGCCTGAGTATTCTGCAGATTCATTTTCAGTCCCACTTTGATCTTGACGCCATTCAGACTTCTTTGGAGAGCTTCTGCTGACCTTAGGAAAATGAGAATTTCGATAGCAAACCGCAGGTAGCTGCAGTAGTGCCCATTTATGTTCAGCCCCTGATTTTTTCCAACGGGGACTTTTGAAAACCTCTTCTAGGGCTGCAGCAAATAACGATGTCTCTTTGTCAAACACTATTTTCGATCGTCAACTTGACTGTGCTTTCGTAAAGCTTCATACTAGCAGCTACATCCTTACAAGTCATGGCGATGAGGCCTCGGTATATTTCTCGATTCCTCGACTCTTCACGGAATCTAATACAGAAAAGATGTTTACTGAGTCGAAAGCTTTCTCGAAATCTATGAACCCCAAGTAGGGAGGAAGCTGACACTCGCTGCTTATCTGAGTTACTGGTTGTATCAGTCGAAGAAGATCCATCGTACTAAATCCACTTCTGAGTCCTGCTAGCTTTTTTGTCCAGTTTTTATTTAGCTCTATTCATCACTAATTTCGTGTAGATCTTGCATATGACCAACAAGGGCCGATAATACTAATACTACTACAAAACTATAATAGCCACACAGATTCTGATATCTTCTAAAATAAGGCACCCATGACTACTGATATCGAAGCATAGATCAACCTCGGCACCATAAGTTTCACGGAAAAAGTGTCGCAGTTGATGTCAA